TTCTTCAAACGTACAAAATAGATCATTGATTCAGCAAACATATCCACTCTGAGTTCTGTTATCACTTTTGATTACACAGACTCAATGTCTAAAGTCAAACATTTTAACTCTTCTTTTGTACACAAGGAAACATTAAACCTGGAATATGTAAACCCTCATGTTAGGAAACCTTAAAATGCAAAACATTATGTGAAGTACAAATATCTTACAGCAAAGAAAAATGGCTCGTTTTGCAAAAATTTAAAAGAATAGACATAGATTTTAAAAAAAAATCATACAATCCAGAATTTAATATAATTTGTTTGTTAACAAGAGCAGAGGGCAATTTTTAATCTATAAGCCTTGCAGATCAAAAGGAATAAAATCTAGGCATTTAAAATTTTGAGTAAAAATGCTTTCAACAGTAACTATTATTCAGTCACGAACTTCCATACCCACAGTACAACTGCCCTTGAGCATTTCCATCCCTTAATCTTTCTGCACTTGTAGCCTCATCTAGGAATTGTAGGGGATGATGACTTCTGCTTTTTTTGCTTTACTGGCATGTTTTGGGAATAAATAAAATACATTCGACCAAAAACCAAACTAAAAAAAAAAAAAAAATCTACACAAACAAAATCTCTGAACTCATTACCTGGTAGTCTTTTACCCAAAGCATACTTTCATGGCTCACTGTTTAACGGTCTTATACCTACCATTTCAAAAACTGTCCTGAGTTTCAGTCAATGCATTTTGTGCTGAAAGAAAACACTTTCTTTTGCATAGTTTAAAAATATACTTATAAATAATCATGAACATATATTTATTCATAGTTTTATTTATATTATTAGTCAAAGTATATATTTAAGAATTAAGGCAAATAAAGTTGAATTATTTTCTCTTTTGTCACAAACTCAAACTCTGTCCCCTCAGAAGGTTATATTTTCATGTGCTTAGAATAGTTAAATGAATGTTTTTTATTAGAAAAAAATAGAATATAAAACACACTTTAAAGTGAAAAGGTTATATTTAATGACTATCATTTTGGGAGAAGGGAAGGTTGTTATTAAGCATGTTAGCAGAATAACCTAAATCTTTTTTCTTCTTTGAAAATAGTGGAAAACCACAGGGTCAGGCGAGGGACAGTTGTGTGGATGCTGAGGGGGAAGAGTCCTCTGCAGAGGCCTGGATTATGCGCACAGGCATTTCTGTTGCGTGGTAAGCAGGTGTGCAGTAATGGGAGGCCCAGGAAACAATGGCCTGTTGAAGTTTCCCAGTCAAGGGCACCTGTTTTGGATTCCTCCCTGAACCGGAATGTCATAGGACATGTGCTGGATCCATGTAAGTGATGAATTTTGTCCCTCTTTAAAAATTGAGCGTTTTAAATGTACACTACTAATTTCAGGAGTTATCTATGTTCAGCTATCTGAGTATCTGGACTGCGAGTTAGGAACTTTGGGTTTGGTTGCCAGATCGACAGAGTACTGTTTTATAATTTGAGGCACATCACAAAATATCCTACTGTAAGTCTACTACAAGGAAGTATTGTTTCATCTGTAACTTGATATTAAGAAAGCTAGCAGAAATCTGTATATGTTATAATACAGAGTATTAAGAAGCATTTGTGAAAAGGAATTTGAAAGCCCCCAATAAAATGAATAAAGGCCCATATAGTCTTAAGTTTTAGATCTTCCAAATCTTTTGTTTCTTTTATCTGATTTTGGCACAGTATTTGCCTCTGATTTGTGTACTGGAGTTGTAGTATATTTTCAATGTGAACGCATATAGAATACACTCTAGGTCTATAAAGCAATATTTGAGATTTTTAAGATAGAAAAAGTCTCTTTAAAAGAAGTTTTAAAAATAAATTACTAGTTATATCAAGCATTTTCACAGGAAGTCATTTCTTATCTTAGTATCATAATGTAATATTTTTGAACTGCCGTGAGAGTGCAGGAAGGCACTGGAGTGGGCAGGAGGTCACCTGAGTTGCTTCTAGGCTCTGTTACCATAGAGTGGAGTTGGATCGAGTTACCCATGGGTCTCTTTCTCCCTTACCATGTTGCCATGCTTGGAATATCATGAGTGGCATCTGCAGTCATCTCGTTCAAAGGTCGACTGACACACGACCCACTAGGAAACCTATTCTTGTCTGAGTGAGGTGATAAGGTTAGTGCATGTGACTCACAAATAAGGGGCAGTTTTATGGTGTTTTGAACATTTCATCTTCATTGATAGAAAATATTCTAATCATTAGATGCTATACAATCAGAGTCCAAAGAGAAGGCCAAAATAACTGCTTTTGTGTGAAAGGATATCAAGAATTTACAAATGTGGCTTCTAACTTGCATTAATGTGCTTTAATTCATTATCTATTAAACATTTTTAAAGTTTTGAAATGGAAAACAATATTTTTCAATACTAAATGTTTCAGATGAAGAACTGAAGCAGCTGGAAAGAAAATAGATTTTAGAATCAGCTGAACTATGTTCAAATACTGATTCAGCTACATATGATCCTGGACAGCTAAGTTCTATGAGGCTCAGTTTCTTTGTCTGTAAATTAAGAGTAATATCTTATACTTTGGAAAACTGCACAGATTATAAATAATGTAGGTAACCCCCTTGGCACAAAATAGGTACTCATGATAAGTACACATGATAACAATAGGCAAAATTTTAAGAATAAAAATGTAATTATTTTTCTAATGTCTTACTCATATGTTAAGAATAGCAAAATTCTCACGAGAGTTAACTTTGACTGTAATCTGTTGTCTCATCCTGAATGCCCAGCCTCAGCGCTCAATGATTATTTGAGGAATGAATAAATGTCAGCGGAACAGATATTTAGGCGAGGCAATTATGATAGTACATTCATACATGATATACTACACAGCAAAGAGAATCATGGCATTAAAGACCTCAATATTTAGCTCATCAGAGTTATGTTAATTAGTAAATCAATCCACTTTCACACCAGTTGTACATCAAACTATGTACATTAATTAGTACTAAATTTTACTAGGTTTAATATTTTAAAAACTCTTACTGACCCAGATTTTTATAAGGCATATGATTCCTATTAGCTTACACATGATTGGTCACATCTCATTAGTAGACATTATTCTTGTTCCTTTCAACTAATACATTTCTTCCATTAACAAATTTTTAACATGTGCTTTGACACCTCCAGCACTAGCATTCCAGGTCAGATGTTTTATCAGATACATGGAACAAAAAAAATAAGTGACCAAGATGATATAAAGTAAGTTTAAACCTGACACTTAAAAGAAACAAGAATATAAATAAATGTTGGTCTTTTACACTACAGATGCATTAAAAATACATTCTTAATAAAATACATACACTTTGCACATAGGACTTTAGACCTGAAATTAAGTAAATTGAGGTAAGGAATATCAAAAGTATATAATATAATGAGACTAGAATGTCTCCTCAAAAATGATTGAAAATGTGCTCAATAAATATGATATATCTTGAAACAGTTATGGACTTCATGTAACTTCAATCCTCTAAATATACAAGATTAAATTTTATTTGTGTGAAATAAACTAAAAAGGAATACTGTTCAGCAAAAGGCTGAAAGTTATTTATGGAGTAAATAAATGGAGTAAATTCATGTTAAACACATGAAAAAGAAAATTTTGTGAAGTCCTTTAAACTAATCATTTCACATATCTTTTAAACCTTGAATTCTTTTTAACATAAAGGGTCATTGGACAGTTGTTCATTAAATACTGACATCAAAACATAACACATAACAAGTTGTGAAGGATGGCAGATGTAAGATGGCAAAAGTAGAAGAAAAATACTTGATTTGACTACAGCACAGACACATAGATCACGCTTTTCCAGTATGGTGGCATAATACAGTCTATACATTATCTACACAACAGCTTATTAGTTAAGGTCCCAGACGTTTTCTCATTTCCAGTAGCAATCTGTTTCTTAAGCCCACTCTTTTCAAATATGAATTATAATGTCTCTGCAGTTGTCTTTCATTTCTTCCCTGTCATTTCTCACAAATCTGATATCATTAGTGTTGGTTTTTTGGGTACATTGAGAACATTTTTTCTAATGTTTTCACAGTCAAATATTCTGACGTCTCAATGACTTTACCTCTTTAGTGCTTCAGTACAGTTGTGAAACAATTTTGGAGGACTCTATTGCGCACGTTTCTTTTGCTAATGTGTCTACTTTTAAATAAAATTGTCTCCTTCACTAATAGTGCATACATTTTACATTAAATTTGGATTCAAACCTCAATGTCAATGATAAAAATACTGGCTTAGTTCTATAAGAGAATTTAAAACGTTTTCAAGATCAAAAATTCTGGAAATCAGGTTTTCAAGCCTTTTTTATTAGAAAACTTGAATCATTACTTCTGTTTTTTTAAAAAGGAAGTAGCCAATATTCACTTTTGAATTTTCTCAAAGAAAGAATAATAAAGGATAGCAAACTAGGATAAGAAAACACTTTAGAAGACAGCTTCCTATTTCACACAACTTCTAGTTACCTTTTCCTATCCATCAACCTATTTCTTCTGTTCAGCAGCAAGAAAAATAATATCCCATATGTCTTTGCCTTTTTGGATTTTCCAAGATGAGTTTCATTTACCTGAATACAAACAAAGCTAAGGAAACGGCTTTTGTATTGGCATAGGCCAAGGACATGTCTCATAACCAGGAAACCCTGCCTTCTATGGCTTCTTTTGCAGTTTATAGTCCAATGGTTATTAAACCAAATGAAAGTTGAACAGTATTCAAAATGACACAGATTGACAACAGATAACGGAAACACATGGACTCACTTCCCTTAGCTGTTATTCTCTCCAAGACAAATGTTTAGCGCTCTGTAGATAAAATTATAAATACTAAAGAAAGGAAGAGAATGGGGAAAGGGTCATTTCTTATCATAATAAATATTTTGGTACAAATGTTTTTTTAAAAAAACGTAAAAAAATTTAGTACCTTTGGGTACTTTTTTCTAATAAAACCATACCTGCTTCAGAACTTGTTTGATTATAGCTGCTAACAATGCTGTTTGGTATCACTGGAGTGGAGGACGTTGAAATTCTTGACTGAGGTGGATTGGGATGTAATGAATTTCCTAAAGCCATGCCCGACTGACTGAGCATCCCACAGTTCCCGCTAGCCTGAATCTGATTTATTAAACCTGCAAGATGGTGGTTAGGGATTGGGCTGCTATTGTGAACAAAGTTAGTGTTTGCATTGTGGCAGTGCACGGCTTCCCCTCTTAAAGGTATGTTCTGTGTCAGTGAATTCTGCAGAACACTGGAGTTCATATTGGGATCTGTAAAATGCAGCTGGTTAGCAGAGCAAGGCAAAGCAGTATTTGAGCCCCCGCAACCTGGGGTACTATTGCTACTCAAGTGAGAGCTTTGACAACTCATAGACTGTAGTAACTGAGACATTGAACTGATGGGAAATGAACCCTGACTCTGCTTCCTTAGCAAGTCAGGTCCAGGTTTAGGAACTGCAGAACTATCCATTTGAGACTGTCTGAGCAAACTCAACACTGTGGTGGGTGGCTGTTTCCTTTTCCGTAATGAGTCTTTTTGCTGAGACATCAACTTATCTCTTAGTGCTGCTCGACCACTTTGCCCTTCACCTGTTGGAAGAAGCATGTTGGCAGTAGGAGGGAACATGGTGTTTAAAGTGCTATGTCCTTCAGTGTTACCACTGCCGGCAACAGCTCCAGAATTGCTACTGCTGCTACTGTTGTTACCAGCAAGTTTGTTTTGATTTGCTAGCTGTGCTTTGGCTGCTGCTGAGAGTAAACTACTTGCTGGAAAGGAGGCAGCATTGTGCTGGTTCAAGATCTGATTTAAAGGCATTCCCAGCAAACCAGGCTGACCCTTTACAGAAGCACTTCCGGCAGATGCACTAGGAAAAGCTGCACTGCTTGGAGTATTTAGTACATTACTCATTCCAGCAATTAATGGGTTAGGGATATCCTTGTATTGATGATGTCCATCGGACTTGGTAGAAGGGCTTGATGGCATTGATGGCCTTGGGGACCCTATTGTTGACCGTGGTGACCTGGGTGGAACCTTAATACCGCTACAGGTGGCCTGGGGTCCTACAGGTGGCATCATGAAATTTCCATGATCTGATGATGTGGAAGATGAGCGTGATCTTTGGGGCGATGCCTCAATCCTTCCAATTCCAGTCCCCATCATGTGCACTGGGGATGTCACTGGAGAAGGGGACAGGGAGGTTGAAGCTGAATGCTGAACTCTTTGTACATGACTCCCATGATTCATGTGACCAGGTTTTATGGTTGGCAAAGGGAGATTACTTGGCAAAGGAACAACAGCAGGAGGCATGCTTACATTCATCACAGGTACCTGAGAGTGGACATTTGAATGGAAACTGGTTGGATTAATGATAACAGGGTTCTGATTCACCGGTTTACTAGGAATAGGGTCAAGAATGCCAAGTGGATCTTTCTCAGATGTTAATGGCTTTTTCTGAAGAGCACAAGAAGGTGGAGGAGGGGGAGGTGGACCTTGGGGTGGTTTGTGGTGGAACATTGCTCGTGGCATTTCCATATTAGTTGAAAAATTACACATTGGTTTTTTCATTACTGGACTCTTTGTAGTCAAGGTTGGGGAAAGAGGTATATTAGTCCTTCCAGCCATTGCACAGGATGACTGTACAGGAGAACCATGTAGCATTACTGAAGGTGGAGAAAGAGGAGTCCTATTCAGGTGAATAGGACTAGAATTGGGAGCGCCATGAAAACCAGGATTATTTCTTGTGAAAACATCTGGGCTTCCAAGTGGGTCAGTCCTCGGAGAGATTGAGCCATCTCCATAAATCTGGGAACCTGATGATGCTGGGCTGGGCAGACCTCCAAGGCTGCCACGGAATGGAGATTTCTGTCCATGTTCACTGCTGCCCAATCTCTGCCGGGGATAGACAGGGTGGAGTTCTTGTTGCTGGCTTCCAGGCAGTTCTTGTACGTACAGTCTTCCCATGGCATTGGATGATCCAATCATTAACTTGAAAGGATTCTTACATTCAGGCATTACAGAATTTGTAATTCCTTCATGAGACTTATTTCTTACTGATCTTGGAGTTGCTGCCCGTGAAGGTACTACTGGAGTTGCATCTGAGTGAAAGAGAAAAAGAATTCTGTTACTTGTCTCAATTCTTTTGTTTCGTCAGGGAGGAAAGAAGAGGATGAAACCAGGAAGGAGAAGATAGAAAAGTATCTGGAGTACAAATCTGCAAACAAAAGTTGTGATTCTATGAAATTAAAAAAGTTCTACAAGCTATAATAAACTTTGATTAAAACATGTACATTATTCTCTCTTAACAGACCAAAGGTTCTCAATAAAAGTTCTCAATATGCTTGTTCACTTTCTATTTATTGAGAGAGCATGGGCACTTAACTCCTTGCATGCTGACGTACTGGTCATTCTAATAATATTTAGAACATGCAAAATCAAGATTGATAGGGCCGGGGACTTAGCTCAGTGGTGCCACCACCTGCCTGGTAAGCATAAGGTCCCAAGTTTGATTCCTGGTAACGATAAATAAATAAACAAACAAACAAATAAATAAATAAATCGACAGCTCCGGTGTAAAATAGTGAAATTAATATCTTATTGGACTTGAGATTTTTTGAGAACACATAGTTATAAAGGAAAATTATAATCTGTGTGGCATAATATTTCCTTGTGATTTAAATGAATTTCCATTCATGTAAGAAATTTTGTTACCCTATAAATGTTTCGGTTATTTTATTGAAAACTTCTAAAGACAGATGTAGAAATATATCCTTATCCCAACATTTTCACTGTGAGATCAAAACTGAATTTTTGTGAATTAAGTGAATAGGATTCCAAATCTTTTAATGACAGTGATGACAAATATAAACACAATGATACTGCAGTCATGCTTAGTTTCATATCATGTTTGTAACACTGTATTTTCATTGCTCTTAATTAATCATTATTGTAAAAACAGTTTTTAGTCAATCAACTTAGGTAAAAGATTTCAGTTCTTTTATTATGCTAGAATTCTCATGTAAAATTTAGTCAGAGTGCTAAACCTTCAGCACTGGTTTCCAATTGAGTATTCTCTTTTCACGTGAGTGCATTTCTCCCTCTCTGACTTTTTGGAGTAGCTTTAGTTCTTTTGGAGATCAGACAGAATACAGGCAACAAAAGCAACCTGGCTCATCACACAGAATTTTCACTCTGTCATGTCAGAATTTGAGGATTAAGTTTTTTAGCCCCAAAGGATCCTTAACTATTTTATGAAGTTGTGCCTTCTAAACCAGAGATGGGAAAGAAAATTCATTTCATATGCCAATTCCCATCAATTTGTGGTGGCCTCTTAGAGTGCTGTGTTCTGGTTGAAAGGGATCCTAAACTCTAGCCAGGCTCCGTAAGAAAATACCAATGGTTCTATTAAGGCACAGGAGACAAAAGTGGTATTATTCATACTATATGTCTGCCATGCTTACTTTGAGACCTAAAGCAGGGTGTACTTGAGAGGTAAGGGAAAACAGTGAACACATTTTCCTTTGGAAATGTGGGCTTTCTGATTCTAGCATGGTAGAAGTTCTTTGATAAGAGTTGTTTTGGGATATAACCACAAAATGCTGAAAACAACAGAAAGCAGTAGATAAATTCAAATGAAGCTTATTTTCTTATTAGATAGATTTTTAAAGTTTGTGGTTCAGAGAGTAATGTATTAAATACATAAATGTGGGACATTCTTCTTGGCATATAGTTGAGAACATTATATGTAGTAACATCCCTAGCATTATTATGGGATTGAATGTTTAATGAAAAAAGCCACCTGCTTACTCCTTTTCTTAGATATTAATGTGTTTCTATAATTATCTTTAGTTCAGTGATTAAAAACATAGACATTGACATTTTTATATTCAAATAACAGAATTTAGACAATAGCTGTGATTTAGAAAGGATTGCTTCTGTACCTGGGAAAAAAGGTTATACTTAAAATAATAGGAATACAGTACTTCACAAACAAAAGTCAGGGTGATGTTATGTGACAAGAACCAAACCATATAAAAACTGTCAAGGGCAAAGACTAGGTATCCATCAGGTATATTCAAGGAAACTTTTCAAAAAATAAATCAAAACAAAATAAATGTTCATATATTTATGTAAAAAGAGATGAAGACATTGTGAGTCTTTTGAATTTTTAATTATTTAGATCATGAATTTAGGAAAACATAATTTAAAGGCAAGGAACAAATGCTATGTAAGAAGATGGCAAGAGCAGCAATTGACAAGTAAGTGCACCATTTACAAAAGGGATGGAGCTGCGCTTATTATTGCTTGGAATAGTTAAACACTGATCGTTAGCCAAGCACGGTGGCGCACTCTTGTAGACCCTGAACTTTGGGAGGCTACAGCAGGAGAACTGCACGTTGGCGTTTAACCATAGGAAATTTAGCAAGATCCTCCTTGAAAAGGAAAGTACAAGATAAAGTAATTTCAATAACTGAATTTGTATGTATAGGTATGACAAAGGAGCTCGGTCAAAATCCTGTGAGGAGAGTTAGAAAGGCAACAAAGCAGACTTTGTAGAAACAGGTAAAATTTTGAAGAGCTGTGATGTGAGATAAGCAGCAAATAAGAGTGAGTAGAAACACACGTGTAAAATAATGCGCAAAAATGAAACCATAGCTACACTATGGTGGCACGATAGTGTAAAGTTTAAATAGTTTATTACTGTTGAATATATCTTGAAATTGCTGTAACTATTTTTTTTTCTTTTGAGATATGGTTTCACTAAGGAGCCCAGGATGGCCCCCAACTCATGGCAATCCTCCTGTCTCAGCCTCCTGAGTGCTGGGATCATAGGTGTGTGTCACCATGCTTGGCTGTTACAACAGTCTTAATTTAATTTTGTTTTTATTTATTTACTTATTTTTTTGTAGTGCCAGGGATCAAACTCGGGACCTTGCATTTGAGAGGCAGGCAGCACAACCACTGAGCCAAATTTCCGGTCCCTAATCTTAATTTTAAAAACTGTACCTTACTAGAAGTTCATTTATTGGAAAACAGCTCCATGCTAACAAGTGCCAAATTTGTCTCTCCTTACTCTCTTTGCATGAGTTCTAAATGTGAATTTTTAATTGCCTGTATCATATAGAATCTGTTCTTGGTATCCAAAGACTCTTGATAGTCTGGCCATAATTTACTTACACCTATTAATCTCCCATTCAAGTCATATTAATTTACACATCATTCCGTAATTATACTACACTCATTCTGAAAACTGCTTTTTCTGTTTTTCTCAGATGTGTAATTTCCATTTTTTTCCAAGGCTGGTCCAAAATTGAGTCCTGCTATAAAGCCTCTCCTCACTACAGGTCCTGCTAATCTCCAATTTTCAGAACTCTGCAAATATGAATAGTATGAACTGTTCCTTATCAACAATTACTGTGGTGCCCAGATACATTTTATTCTGAATTATTGTTCAAGAATAAAGAGATTGTAATATTTTGGAGAGTGTTCATATCCAAGCCCTTTACAAAAAAATTAGGTCCTCAGGGTCAGGGTATAATTCTACTGTACATATTAATCATAAAAGTTACTTTAGCAATGAAAAAAATTATAATGAGGATTTTTTTATTTATACCACTTATGAAGAATTCCTATCAAAATGTGTTTATCCTAACATAATTGTGAGGAACAAATTAGGTAAATCCAAAATAAAGAACATCCTGCAAAGTTGGCCTGAACTCTTCAAAGAGCTGAATACAGTTCATGCAAGACTGAAAAAAAAAGGGGGAGGTATTGATGTAAATTGAATGTAACAGCTAACTGCATTGCACATCTTTGATTGTATCATGGATTTAAAGAAGACTGAATTTTTAAAGAAGCTAAAAGACATTAGGACAATTGGAAGATAGGCTGTATTTTAGACAACAGCATTATATCAGTGTTAAATTTCCTAATGTGCTCATTAGATTATGGTTATGTAGGAGAGTGTCCTTGTGTACTGAAATATTTAGGAATGAATTGTGACAATATTAGCAAAACGTTAACTGGTGAATTAAAATGAAGAATGTATGTGTGCTTACTGCACTATTCCTGTACTTTTCCTTTGAAATTTTATGAAAAAGAATGTGTGATTTTGGCAAGGAGATTTCTAGTATGTGTTCAATAAATAGTTATAGCATGAATGAGAGAATAACAATGCCCAGTTACACTTGGGGATGGATACACATTTCAGTACAGCCCTAGGAAGCCAATGGCACTTTTTCTTTTGTTAACTCAGTTCTCCATATCTGCATAGCATCTGCATGTACTAACTTTTGTTTATTCTGATTGTATAACTAGAAGATCGAGGTATGAAATTCTGGGAATAACCTCATGGGAATTTTTCATGACTAATTTGCTATTTGTAATGAAATAATAAGACATATAAAATCTTAAAAGTATTGTGCACATTTGAAAAGTGGAATGGAAGAGTAATTGGCTAAGTAAATTCCAACAACTCCTTCTCTTAGATTGGGGGAGGAGAATTCCTACCCCCTTAGACAAATCACATACTTGTTCCTCCTCCAGGACTGGTGAGCACCAGAGAAGGGTGTGGGGCTTCCATGCTTTTATGAAGTGTGGCCACTGCAATGATTTTTCTTTTATGTATGCATAGCTTTGTGACATCTTCATCTGCCTTAACATCTTCTGCAGTTCTCTGTTTCACAGCAGCTCCAGGATCAAAATTAAATACCTGGAAAAAACACCGTCTTAGTTTAGAATATGTCTGTGACAATATTTACTAAAAAGATCTTGGTCAGAAAGAAAAAAAAAGTTGTACATATATTAAACCATAATAAATTTGAATATAATTTTCTCCATTTTTGAATTTAAGGAAATCAACTTTATATAACTTAATAAACATGGCTGAGCTTACGGTTTTTATTGGCAAAATAGATAAATGAAAATTATACTAATTTTAAGAAAGCCAAGATAATATATTGAGAGGTATATCTGATAGTTTCCAATTATCAATACTTTCTCATGTTATAACAGTATAAAAAAAGATGAAGAACAAATACAGAAACAAAAGAAAAGCTATGACATTTCTACATGATAACTTTACTTTGGTTTCCTTTTATTTCTATATTAATGTTAGCCTTCACTAATTAAAAAAAAATCTATTACTCTTTTTAAAAGACATCATTTATTATGTAAAACTTTTAGGATGTAGTGACAGACAAAGGAAAAAGCTGTTTATTAATCTTTAGTTTTAAAATCAGCACTATAACACATATGTGGAGAATGATCTCTTTCTACAGCAAATTATATTTTACCATTATATATGATTTTACTTGTTACCTTGTAAATAGTTTCTTATTTCGGCTATGAGGGTTCAACTTTGTGATTTTAGGAATAGTGTATCCCTGACAGGTTTATCAGCATTCATGCGAACAGTAACACTGCTGATTTGAAGAGTTGTAGTATTGAAATAAAATATTGCAGTACAAAGTACTACGATAGGCATAGCTCCAATAAAAGGTGCAGTGGTAGTTTTAATGAAGTATTTAATATGAAGATAGGTTTGTCATCTTTGAAATGAATTATTCTACAATCTTTAAGCATTCCAAAATGTATGTAAAAGATGTCTAAAGAATTAAAATGAATATATGATCGGAGAACTAATATTAGATGAAATGCCAAATGAGAAAAGCAAATATATAAATTCTTTAAAATAAAAAATAAAAACTGCTGTTATTCCATTGTGAAACGGTTACCTTGGGAAGAATAAGAGGACATTCCAAGCCGCACTTGCATGTTCCATCAGTAAGCAGGTATGTTTTAACCTGCTCCAAGCAAGATAACAAAGACCCACTGGGACTGTAAAAATAGTTTAAAAAAATCAGGAAATAATTTTGACTGCATATAAATATGAAAAAAGGCATAATTTATAGTCTTACTATCCTCTAGAGGATAATATTTTCCCACTAGTGAAAAGCATTTCTGTCAATATTATGTTAGCTACTAAATTATAGCCTTTAACACTATCTCATTCTTTCCTTTGAACCAAAATATTTCTCAGAAAAATACAGATCTTCAAAGAAAATTAAACAAAAGTATTTTGAAAACCAAGTGTGGACTCAATATGGGAAAAATATTATTCTTAAGAAAGGACAGAAACAGGCAAGAAAGGAACAAGGAAGCAAAAAAAAAAAAAAACTAACAGTAATCATTATCATTTTAAACTACAAGATTTACTTTTATAGTTCTTTGAGGAAAAGCTGAAACTGAGGAACATATTATGATCCCAATCAGAAATTTGGACCTAACAAGTTTACTACTACTATTTATCTTGGAGTCTAATAAAACAAAGTTGTCCCTTTGTAAAAAACAAGGCTTCTTTCTCCTCCACACTGGTGTGTTTCTCTGAAGATAGATCAACATGACCCAACTAAAATTATACTAAAGAGCCAAACTATATGGAGACAGAGAGAGGAATCAAGCAAAACTGACAAAAGATGGGAAATTTTGAGGTTAAGGATGTTGACCAAAAGGTGTCTTGCAGTTTTCTTTGCTGGTAACTAGGCAGGCCTTACTACTCTTCTTGTCACAAGAATCAGTAAAATATGAGACTATTGATCAATTTCATGTCTATATATTAGTGGTATTATATCAGATGATAGGGTGAGACTTTGGTTTTTATTTATAATGGGATTTAATTTAAAACAAGTAATTTTCTTTTTTAGGACTCATAATTAACATCGATTTTATAATTCAGATGTGTACAGTATGCTTTCAAACTTTATATGCTTTTCATTTGAGAATGTCTTTTATAACTATTTAGCAAAATCTTCATGTAAGCATTCTGATCAGAATTATCCAGAAACAATCACTCTTGATTTTATACACAAAAGCATTACATTACCAGACATAAATAATTCTGCCTCTACAGAAACATAAGTACCTACAAATGAACCAGCTTTAAAATGCAAACATTTTGCTTTATGGACATTTATGTAAGAATCTCAGGCATAAAGAAAAATTTAAAAGGTAATTCCTAACTAGGTTAAATTATTTATCTGTGCTTTTAAAATTAGATGGTAAGCAAAGAATAGTAATTTTCATGTTATAGGTGGGAGTTTCACCTCAGTAGGGAAGAACAATAAGATATTTTGGAGGTCAGGCAATTTGAATTTTTTTTTTTTTTTGTCATTACCAAAAGGTACCTTACTGAATTTTCACATGAAGAATTAATGAATTCGGTAAAAAAAGAGACTGCCCAATATTTTACTTAAAAGAAAACATATGCATTAAGTCTAATGAAATCTAACTTAAAATTAAACCTGAAGACAAAAATTTCTAAATTCTTCTGAGCACCCCATACACTTTACAAACATTTGTTCTTAATCAGTTGGATTCTTTCCTTCGGTGTAGCCCTTTATTTAGCTTCTGGGAGCAATAATCATTGTGCAAGTCTTATAAGCAGAGATAAAGCTTAGATGATTTGAAACAGATAGAAAATTTAATGTATAGTTTCAATAGCACCATGAATTAGGAGTAGCTGGAGACTAACCTAAAAATTACTAGCAAACTATACACTGAGAAGGGAGGTATAGAAAGTGGTTTAGTTTCCTACATATATTCACGTAGTAATCTAATTAGTGATATACAAACAATCAAACCCATGCTGGCTTGATTTAATTTGAAAGGGTTTTGCCTTATCTGGGAATGTTAATTTCCACAACTTTCTATGTACAGATTTGGACTTCCAGAACCCATACTATCAGGATTATTAGATAGTACAGTCTGTCAGACTAGAGAAATTTTGAACAATGTCACTGACAGAATCTTAGACTCTAAGTTGATTGTTGATTCTCAGGTATGGTTTGTTCACAGCCACGTTAAAAGCTGATTTGTCTTTCCTTAGGATGGAGGTGAATTAAAAAAAAAAAATTCAAGATATAGAGTCATTTGCTTCCAGCTGACTATGTTTTCTCTTTACAAACAAGAACAATCACAAATATAAACATACATCACCAATATTTCGCAGTATTTTATTAATAATAAAGTATTTCTGGCAGTTTATTGGTAACAGAAAAAACACCCTGATTAAGTTATCTCAAGTGTCCATGTCTGTCTTATCCATTATGGGATGAGCTCTACATTCCCTGCTTCCTTCTCCCTTCACTCCAATTAATGCAGCATGCAAAGATATAGATTAAAACTGCAGAAAAATAAGGTAATTGTTTTTAGCTAATATCAAGCATTAAAAAGTCTAATGACCAGGCTGGGAATTTAGTTCAATGGTGCTGCCACCTGCCTCACAAGCCCAAGATCCTGAGTTCAATCCCCAGTACCAAAAAAAGAAAAGAAAAGAAAAAGAAAGTCTAATGATTACAACAGCCTAAAGATGAAAACATAATCTTAGAATCAGAAAAGGTAGCTGGAGTCTCTGCAGGGCACAGTAATATTGTCAAGAGTTAACGGGTCCATATCCAGAATTTTACATTCTTCTGTGAATGTGGTAATAATGCTTTTAGGTTTCTTTTTTGAAATCTTCATATTTTTCTTTGTTAGAGAGCAGAATGACATCTTATGCAAACACAATAATGCACAGGAATTCTCTCTGGTATTCTAAGGCAATTCACAGGGTTGCTAGCACAGAGGTCATTTATTCAGGTGCGGTCAGTCACAATATTTTATTCTCTCAAAGAGGAATGGTCTACTCTCTTAATCCTGCAACTGCAACTTTGGAGTAACCCAGGTATTAAATGAGAGCTCACCTGACATAAAGAACTCCATTTTGATCCACGCGGCGCTGCCAACCCACAGGAACTTGTATAGCTGGAAGACCTCCTTCCTTGTCCCCTCCGTCACACTCCTTGCCTCCATTCATTTTCTGTGTCTGCTTGGGACTCTCCAAAGACATCAGCAATAAGATGATATCCTCATATTACACAGCATGATGGCCTTCAACAATGGGCCAGTGCAGCCGGTTTTCCCTAGACTGTACAAAATGCATTGGGGAGCTACGGCTCAGTTTGAAACCAAGTCCTTGAAATCTGCCATGGTGAAAATATCAGTTTCCCATTATAATTTACATTAAATAACCAATATTTAATTCCTGGGGATGGTCTACATGTGTAAAAATGAGTGATTCCAACTAAGCAGAATCATCATTCACCAGTGCTAGGACCTGCCTCAAGTAGAGGAGGGAGGACTGTAAAGTTTTTAGCTGGACATTTTGTCTTGAACCTTGATGTTGGACTAAAACAACCTTCACTGCTTAGAAACCAGTCTCATTTTTACAGTATGTCAGTTAATATTTCCAGGTACTACCCGCCTTTATAGGCCACATTCTTTAAACTTTCTCTTTATCTTCCAATCTGAATCCAAGGTGTTGCAGGTTGGTTCATTTGATGTTTTCATGACTTCAAAATTCCAATAATAGCCTGAAATATATGTAAATATGTAAATAGTATATTTAACGTTGCAAACTAAGAAGCCACATGACTTTAAAATAGAATAACCTCAGTGTACCCGATCACTTTGATGTCCTCTATCATGAAAATCATATGTAGAACTGAACTTGTTCTCATTTACTTACTCTATTCAAACCAATTTACATGCTATTCACCACATGATTTTTTTTAATTACTAGAGAAACACCGATAATTTTGGCACTATGTACACGAATATAGACACACACTCTAACTTGAAATAAAAATGTATCCATAATTTCTTATGACCTGTGAACCAGAAAACTGTTAATCCAATCACATTTTGATTATGCCTTAATACTACATACACCAATGGTTCAGGTTTCTTTCCTAATCATTATATTAGTGTAAAGAAGGTAAGGTTTCTCCTTGTTATATTTATTAAAGAAAAAGTGCAGGAAATAAATTGGTAGTACATCCCCAAATATAAAAAGGTTTTCTCCCAGTGTTACTGGATATAAGAGTGGAAGTTACTTTAGAGTCAAGAATTTACAAAATTCCATCTATGATGGGTTATTTTCTTAATTCTTTTACCAATTCACAAGGCAGCAAAGACACACTAGGTTTGTACAATAGTATTAGTGTGGGATACTCATAGAAGTCATCTTAATGGAGCTGTTAAAAAAAGACAAAAAGTTTTTAAAAGACTAATATTGTGGAAAGTGTGATGTCACAGTTGGTAGTAACAGTTATTTTTGTAAACAAGCTTTTAAATGATAGATTTAATATCTATTATGTAATACATTATTGGAGTCATAAAACTACACTAAATAATGACTCAAAAATTACTTTTGTGGTATAAAAGCGAAGCCCTTGTGGTTTGTGATAAAAATTTCTAGTAAGCATCATCCACAGATTAAAAAAATTGCTATATCTCTAACAACTAAAATAGAAGTAAAGATGATATGCTATTAAATGGAAAACTGTATTAAATGACAACATTCACATAGTAATCTTAAAATTGGTTTCATAAAATTTAATTTAAATATTTCTTACATAATGTGCCCTAAATACACGTGTATAAATAAATAAATCAGTATAAACATCTGTGCATACTTCTTAATCTACATTCCTAATAGTCTATATATTTAAGTGGAGTGAAACATTTTTGTATTTTTTTATTAGAAAAGCAGATTATCTTACAGCGAAAGCCATCATGTATTCAGGCATATGTCTGATTTGTAGCTTTGGCTCCAAGACAGGTTAACGGTATTTTAATAAAGCATATACTCATTTAGATGAAAACCAGGAACTGTGCTCTTGGGTGTGGAAAACATTGGCAGGCAACAGGAAAAGTAGCAAAAATTTACTGTGGAAAATTCAGGATATAAACAAGGTACCAAGTAGTAACACTCCCAATGGTTCTCATGCTGATAATTTGTATCTTTGGGTCCACTTCGTTGTGCTATACTTGTCAGAGAAATGGCCTCACTTACAGATTTAACATTCTATTTCTGTCTTCCATCATGACTTGTACTGTCCACATGTGTGTTTTCCACATTTCATTCAACATTTACAGAGCAGTAACTGTACACTAGGCACTGTGTTAGATACTACAAATACGGTGAGTGCTATGGTATGAATGTTTAGTCTTCTCAGGATTCATGAGCTGAAATTCTAACTGCTAGGAGGATGGTATTAGAAAATTTAGCACAGTGATGCTGCTGCTGGCTTCTCAAGGGCAATGACCCATGTTTGATCCCAGGTACAAAAAAAATAATAATAAATAAATAAAAAAAGCCCTGGGCACATAGCCCTGGGTTCAATCTGCAGTAGTGACACTAAGAGACCTCTTCCACTATTTTATGTTATAGTGAAGAGATAAATCATCTGTGAACTAGAAAATTAACTCTTACTAGATAATACATTTGCTGGTTCCATGATTTTGGACTTAGCAGCTTCCAGAGCTGTGAGAGTATTTTATAATAGCAGCCTGAATAGCACAAGGCATCTTACACTGAGTGTAAGTTTCCACCTTATCCAAAACTCAGTGTAATTTCTGGTACTAATAAGCTACTTAATGTGGCAGTTTGAAAACCAAAATAAGAATTGAATTGTACTTTCACTGCAAAATAACTACTAAAAATATTGACAGTCTTTCAATCATTTTTTTAGAAGTTTTAAAAAACACATAAAACAAGTTTAATATAATAAATTAGATCACTATTCTAAATTATTTTGTCACTTTGGCTTTTTCTTTAAATAAAAGACTCAGAAAATATTCCACATGAAATTAAATACTATCTCCAGGCAGCTCGCACCCCAGCCACCTGAACTCAGCAGCAGACCCACAAGAGGCGAGGCTGCACAGGCATCTGTGCCCCCTCTCCCCCGCCCCCCAGGTACCTCTGGCCTCCTGGCTGTACTGGTACCTGGATACATTCACACCACAGAAGCACAGGGGGGTCATAAAGGTCATTGTCATGAGCTCTAGCCTCAATTTTGATTTAATTCACACAGTTAAAGGTGACAAATTAGTAACTATCACAAATTGTCATTTTCTAAGATGTGCTTGAGGCTTTTGTGTTGCTGATTGTATCACTTGGGCTAAGATGTTGTGATTGATCCAATCAGTTGTCCTACCTGGTATAATGAAAAAGAAATTGCCTCAGAGTCATTAGAAACTCAAAACCTAAAGACAAGCTATAACAGGGAGATCGAAGTATTAACCCAGCTATCAAACCAAGGACAGTACCAACAACAAAAATAGAAATGGGAAGACATTCAAACAAAGCTCACGCACAAACACAGACTTCCAGCTCACCAAAGGTAAATACTGGGTGAAATGAGGTAGAGAAGTCTGATAAATCAACCACCTGGACACCCTGAACTGTGATAGCACAGTAAGTAACAAAACAGATGAATGAGGCTTTAGAAAAATTCAAAACAGATATAATTTCTATATATAATATAGAGGTGGTGAGCAGAATGAGTAAGATTAGAGATTCTACAACAGAAATAGATTAAAAAAAAACACAAACACATGAGCTCAGAAACAAAATAGAAACTATGACTGTCCAATACAGGAAAGAAATGGCAACACTGAATGCCCAGCACAGGAAAGAAACGGAATCCATGAAACAGATTCAAACAGATATCCAGGAAATTAAAAACTCTATTGAAAATTTACATAACAGACCGAGCCTATATGAAGACAATCGGATATTAGATATAGAAGACAGGATGGAGATCAGTGACCATGAAAAGAAGGACCTCTTAAAATAGTAAGGGAACCTGAGAAATCAATCTGACAGCTCCTAGATGATACATAGAAGAATAATATAAAATTGATAGGAGTCCATGAAAAAGCAGGGAAAAGTACAAATGAAATTAAAAAAAAGTTCACAGAATTAATGATAGAAAACTTCCCAAACAGAGCAAAATAATTTGACATACAGAAAAGTGAGGCATATAGGACTCCAACTAGCCATGATAAAAAAAAAACTACACCTACATATATAATAATCAAGATCCCAGAAACCCAACAGAAGAACAAAATACTATAAGCAGTAAGAGAAAAAGAAACAACACATGCAAAGGAAAGCCCATCAGAACCACAGCAGATTTTTCAACACAAAAACCTCAGGTCAAGGAGATCCTGGAGTGAAGTATTTCAAACCCTAAAAGAAAACAACCTCCAACCTAGATTGATCTATTCTGCAAAACTATCTTTCAAAATTGATGGGGAAATAAGATATCTCCATGACAATGAACACCTGAGAAACTTCATGAATACCAAACCAGCACTCCAAACAATTCTAAATAATATCCTAGAAGATGACAATGAAGATCCCAACTCCATGAGGCCCAACAGAGTAAATCCAGCAGGCAAAGCAAGAAATTAAAGGGAGAGGGGGAAAATTTAAAAAGAGCCAACAACAGGACAATAACATGACAATGATAAGTCAGTACATATCAGTTATAACCATTAATGTTAATGGCCTAAATTCACCAAGCAAAAGAAATTGACTGTCAGAATGGATTAAGAAGCAAAATCCAACAATATGCTGTATACAAGAAATGCATCTAGTTCAAAACGAAACTCAGACTGAAAGTGAAAGGATGGAAAACAGTTCTCCATGTGACAGGAACCCAGAAAAAAGCAGGGGTAGCAATCTCATTTGCAGAAAAATAAATATCAAACCAAAACTAATTAAGAGAAACTAAGAAGGTCACTACATCCTTGTAAAGGGAACAATCCAAGAGGAAGAGATGACAATCATAAATATATATGCACCAAACACTAATGCCCCTAACTATATAAGACAAATATTAATGGACATAAAACATCAAATAAGCACTAATACAATTATAGTAGGGAACCTCAACACCCTACTGTCACATATAGACAGGTCATCAAGACACAAAAAAATCAGTGAAATACTCAAATAAAATACTAGAAATACTGGAACCGAAGCATGCTTTAGAACAAATGGACTTAACAGACATATACAGAGTGTTCCACCCCATAAAATCAGAATATACATTATTTTTGGCTGCACACAGGTCATTCACCAAAATAGACCACATACTACCTCACAGAACATGTTTAAATAAATGCAAAGGCATTGAAGTTATCCCCTGTATATTATCAGACCATAGTGTAATTAAACTGGAGATCAATAGCAAAAGAAACCACAAGAACTTTATAAACACATGGAAATTGAATAACACTCTCCTGATCAAAAAATGGGTTAGGAGATTAAAGAAGAAATTAGAGAGTTTTAAAAAATAAATTATAATGCCAGTACAACATAGAGGAATCTATGGGACACAGTGAAAGCAGCTCTATGAGGGAAATTTATAGCAGTGAGTGCCTACACTAGGAAAACAGAGTGAGCTCAAATAAAAAACCTAATGCTTCTAGAGCTTCTTAAGCTTCTAGAAAGAGAAGAGCAAGATAAAACCAAAGCTTGTGCAAGGGAGGAAATTATAAGGGTCTGAGCAGAAATCAATGCAATGGAGATCAATTAACTTTTTTTGATTCTACATATGAGCGAGATCATACAGTATTTATTTTTCTGCCCAACATTTCATTTAATATAATGTCCTCCAGGTTTCATCTACATTGTTGCAAATGGCAGAATATCATTCTTTTTAATGGCCCAGTATACCACATTTTCTTTATAGATTATCCGATGATAGAGACTTGATTCTTTATCTGAGCTATTGTAAATAACACTAGCATAAATATGGACATGCAGAAGTCTCTTTAATGTACTGGTTTCATTTCTTTTGCTCTATACCCAGTAGAGGGATTGGTGGATCATAGGGCAGTTTATTCCTAGATTTTTGAGGAACCCTCACACTATTTTCCATAATGTCTGTACTAATTTACATTCCCACCAACAGTGGAAGGGTCCTCTAGTCTCTGCATCTGAATCAGGACTTTTTTCTTTTGCCTTTGGAAGAAGTCCCTCTTTGAGGTGGGGTGAGGTGATACCTCACTGTGATTTTGATTTGCATTTCCCTTACTATTACTATCACTATCAGGATGTTGAGCATTTTTTCATACACTTCTTGGCCATTCATGTTTTCTTTTGAGAAATGTCTTTTGCCTATTTTAAAATGAGGTTTTTTTGTTTGTTTGTTTGTTTTGCTAATGAATTACTTGAGTTCTTATTTACTGTGGATATTAAACCATTGTGAGAGGTATAGTTTGAAATTATTTTTCTCAATTCATAGGTTATCTTTTCATTCCACTGACTGTTTCCTTCACCATGTAGACTCTAGTTTGAAGCAATCCCATGTGTTTATTTTTGCTTTTGTTGTCTGTGCTCTTGAGATCTATGAAAAATATCCTTAACCTTGGCCAACATCATGAAATATGTTCCCTGTTTAGCATTTTCATAGTTTTGAGTCTCACATTTAAGTCTTTAATCAATAACAAGTAAAAGTCAACTTTCACTCTTAAAGTGAAAACAAGAACTCAGCCAAAGACGAAAGTCATCCAAAGAAATTGCCTCTGGAAAGGTTTAAGGGTCTAGGATCATTCAAGCCCAATGAATGTTCAGAAAACAATCAAATGTAAAGGGAACTATAGTCTAATAAAGCGTCTGATAAGTTCTTTCAAGAACAAGAGAAGGAAGAATGTTTCTGTGTAGATTTTGGAAAGAGCAGCCCAAAGAGAATACAAGATCCATGAAATATATGATCTTTTATTATGTTTATGCAGCTCACATATCAGGAACAAAATGAGTAAGTAATAATACTCATGGATGTTTAGGGGTATCATATACAGTGTCTCAAGGGGAGTCCATTTATGTGACCAACTTCTCAATGGAATTCTCAGAATGGCAGAGAAAAGCACAACAGCCAAAGAAAGTTCATGTACAATGTATGTAGGCTGGAGAGGAAGGGAATTTCATTATCACAAAATGAGACACAGTATTTCAAAAGACAGATTAAAGAAAAGCAAAACCTGTAGAAAATAAATGGACAAACATGAGTAAAATGCAAGACCAGTTATAAGCAGGAGGATTTTGGGCCACATTTCACTCACAGAAGTATATGGCATTGATACGATTTGAAAATAGTAAGAGAAGTAACTGACAATATCTACATCAAAAAATCTCACATGGAAATTTGCATTCCTGCTTTACCTGGGAAACTGGATACCGTGGTAACACTAGGTCAACATTCCTGCTTTGCAACAATTATCTGGAACAGAGCAGAGGCTGCTCCTTTAGAAAGGACTTGGATCTCCAGTTCACTGAAGTGGTTTCCCGCTTCATTCCCACCAGCCTGGCCTCTATAGGCATTTGGATTTCCAACTTCTGAAACAGAAAGGACCTTGAGGTTAGGATTGCAGGACTCAGTATGGCCCTTGAGGAGATGTACAATGCATTTTTATAGATCATTTACCCTATACATCATAGTTTATTAAAAATGGTGGGGTATGAATTCTCAGTAGTTTACCATGTATTATTGTTAGTATACATAGGGACACCAGTAAGTGAGCTAAAAATGAAGCACATAGTTAACTCTCCTATCTCAAGAACTCATCTCAGGGGGGCAAATAATTATAGGATCAAATTGTACAATTTATTTGTTATTAAGATACAAAAAATGCCACCAAATTTGACACCCTGGATTAAAGAATTTGTTTTAACAAATATGAAAAAATGTTATAAAGTCTTTCAATGGTATACTCAGGACTTTATAACCCCTTAGTTTATTTTCTTCTATCCTCCAGGAAGACAGGAAGTTCTTGCTATAGTGTGCTGTGTGGTAAGACCCTTACTCAGCCTAGGTAACAGAATCCTGATTACCATTTAACTTATTTTGGTCTATTTTCATAGCCACTGGACAATCTTTTGATTATCTGATACATTTCATAGGAATTTAATTTCTATAACAGGTGACGTATAAACAAATAGATCACCTGTTATGAAAATTTGGTTACTGTAAACATTGCTGGTCTGCATTAAGATCCCTTTACTCTCAAGAATAACAGAAAAATCAAGTTTTTTACTTGGAAGAGCTAAAGACCACGTCCTGTACCATACTTACTCTACCTGATACTCTCCCATCTTTGAGGTCTTTCTTGATGGTTAGTCTACTAGCTTTCTGTTTTGTCCCTTTTTAGTGCCACCTTCCTCCGATACCATTATTAAAAAACCAGGAACTGCTTTGGGTCAGAGAAGGACATGAAAATATGTAGCACAAAAAAATGGCAGTATGCTTTAACGGTGCTGCTACTCAGAAAGTAGCCTGGATAGACAAAGGAGCAGTCTAAGGGGTGCAGAACAAGGTTGGTAATCCCAACATACTATAGGTACTCTAGGTTTTATGTTAATGTTTTAAGTACTTCAGAGGCACCAATTATGTGGGAAACACCGTGATGGGCACTGGAAACTCAGACACAAGAACACAGTTTTCATTTGAAAGAGCCTGCTGCCTGGGGTGGTGGTGCTGGTGGTTGGGAAGTTGGACAATCAGGTAATGCTATATGATGTCAAATATGGTAGAGGGGAACACAGAGTGTTAAATGAGTGTAAAGAATTGGTCTGGTTTTCAAGAGTAGGGATGTCGGCCAGGGACAGGGTAGATTTAAGGATGCAGAGACTTCAGATAGGTAAAAAAGGATTAGTGGGAGACCTCAAAGTTTAATCCATGCAAATGATTGCTGTTCTAAAGGATTAATAATGAAGATTTTATATTCTCGTCTGTTAATAACATTTACAATATCATACTCTTTTTTGTAGCTGGTAAGATAACATAAAGGTCTCATTTTGTCAGACCTTTTAACCCTGAGGTTTCATAATTAATGAAGCATTAATGAATATTTTCTGCCAGGTGTGTGGATGCCTGTCTGATGCCTGAAACAAAAAATGATGACATCAAATTTTAGGGAAGCAAATATTGTTATCAAGAAAACGTACTATCAAAGAATGCAGATTCATTTTAGTAAGAAAAGGATATTAGATGTGAGAGCACTGAAAGCAAAAACCAAGGGGAGCAAGACATGGGTAAGGAAGATTTAAAGTAGTTTCAAACTAATGGATAGTATACCTCTCAAATCGAGGCGTCTGAGTGATAAAGAGATGACTGTAGCGTTAAAGTAAATTTAGCCAAATGTATAAATAAAATTAACCTTTACGGAACTATATTCTAGGAACTTGGCAGCATTTTATCTATACACATATTAACTAATTTAATCATTACTGTAACTCTATAAGGCAGGTACTTTTTTCTTTTCTAGAACTAAGGACATTATGGTAAGGGAAATTTAAGTATTTTACATTTTCTTTCCAGCACTAATAATTTAGATCCCTGTCCCCTTTTTCCTTCTAAGTATTTATAACCATCCAGCATTCTGTATATTTTATTGTTTATCCTATTATTGTCCTTCTCAGACAAGAATGTCAGCTCTGTGAGCACACAGGATATAGCAGTCATCATAACAAATAGCCTTGCTACCTTTTGTTCCTTAAAGAATGTCTTCATATCATACATCTTTACCTTCCATGGGACAACATAAAGAGCCTTATAGTGCTCAAGTCAAGAACGTCTGTGAGTGGATGATGAGGACAATGGATTAGTCGGCATATACCGAACCCTCGCCGAGCTCGGCATTCAGCTAGACACTGAAAGATAGGGAATACAAAATACCGTCCCTATTCTGAAAGAACCTGGCGCTGAGGAATGGAAATAAGGCAGAAGCATGAGGCCAGGTCCTCCCAAGACTCCATGGAATAAAGCTGCAATAAGCCTTTTTGGAAATGCACTGTTCACAACTCTATGCCTCTATATGTATTGTTCCCTGAGCACAGAGAGATTTTTTCAAAGAAACTTTCTGTTCTCTTCAGAGTTATCCATTCATTCCTCTCCTACAGTACTGTTTACACGTGTGTAACAATACCTGATGCTCTATTGTAACATACGCATATTTCTTGTTTCATATATTTTTGTCATTGTGGTTGGAAACACAAGATTAAGTGTATGGTATTAAAATAATGTGTTAAGGTGATTTCATTTTTCTTACCTTTTAAAATAATAAAGAATTTACTTTTATGCCCTTAAAATATAACCATAGATGGAAAAACTCATGTGAACAATAATGTCAAAACTATTGAGTAGTGAACAAAAACACACAAGGTGTCGAGTTGCAGGTGTGTATCCAACTCAAACTGGAGATTAAACAGAATCTTATTTTTACTTTCAGCACACTTTCTAGATTCACGGGAGGCTCTCTGTACCTAAAGAGTTCCTGGCACACAGATAATGACTTGTTGACTAAATAAATGAATGCCTATAGACTAACCATGTCAATTAAATGCTAAAAGGCATGGCACACACTAAATATACTATAGGGATTTAAATGAAACAATAGAAAGAACAGTAAATTCAGGGTAACAGAGTTTGTTATATGCACTTTTACAAAGACATACCTTTGAGCAAGACACTTAACATGAGCTTTAATTTGTAAAATTAATAGATTGGACCAGACCAGCATTATTCAATTATTATATCAGTATTCTATTGTCAAATGAAATAGAAATGGAACTCCATTATATAAAACATAAAAAAGATACTTGTTAGCAAAAATTTTATTTTATAAAACAAAATTACATTATTTATTAAGGACCATCAATAAGAATGTACTATTATGATTAATAAAAAGTATGAAATCATGGGATGTTGGTGACAACTGAAATTTTAAATCATCTTCATTTAAAAAAATTTTTCTTTTTATTTTTTTGGTTTTGGGGATTGAACTTAGGACTTTGCTCTTGTGAGGCAGGAGGTGGCACCACTAAGCTAAATCCCCCGCCCTATGTTTTGATTTATTGTATTGACACAATTCCAATTAACAAAGATAAGTGATTATAAATGGAAACAACTGTTTAAAACAGCTAATTTGGCAAAATTAAAATTTCTGCAAATAAAATGGTCCAGATGCTTGAAGGAGTAAGAAAAATGTTTCTTTTTCCAAAAACTGAATGATTATATTTAATTTTTATTCATGTTTCTGCCTATATACAAAGATGGACAAGAACTACCCAAAATTTACTGTTATTGACATCTACCAATAATAATATACATTGATTAATAAAAAGTATGAAATCAAAAGATATTCAAGACAACTGCAATTTTAAATTATTTTCAAGGCTTAGTAAGCAAGAGACTTCCTTTAAAGTAATGTTTTCACATTAACTTGTCACTGCAAAATTGGTGATGAGTGGTGCTGCTGCCTGCTTCAAAAGTGCAAGGTCATGAGTTCGATCCCCAGTACCAAATAAACAAACAAATAAACAGATAAATAAAACTGATGATGAGCGGTAAGAATACATGCCAGGAAGATGCCTATATGTCTTATTTGTATGTATTCAATGTGGCATACATATATCACAATAGTCTTGCTTGCTTAACTTGATTTGGATATATTATGTTGGACCCAAGCTTTAAGAAGGCTAATGAGAACCATAAAAATAAAAAAACAAATATTTGTAAAAAGTTTAAGTATCTACATAAACATTAGCAGAAAAACTTTTAGCTATCAGTCCATAGAAATAAACGAGCAGCATAGTCTATTTTTGTTTTATGGCCTCTAATGTGTTACAATTTGATATAACATAGTTGCAGGTGCGTGTTATTTTTATTATAGTCTTAACATAGCTACAGTTTTTAAAGCTTTGAATGTCACCTCTAGCATTTGTAAAACCTTGAAGAACTGGATGCTCTTTCTGGTCCTTCTAAATCTACACCTACATAACCTAGGAAAGCAAAAAAGATTTTTCAATTCAGTCTGGTACACATTTGCAGAGATTCAACACTCACAGGACAGGAAAGAACATGATCAGATAGAATTACAGAACATGAGCAACAAGAAATATAGCTTTTAAAAAAACATACCAATCTTCCTAGTACAGGATAAATCTCTATGTACATAAGCTAAAGCAACTTTTGTACATAGATTCATGAAACCTCCAACACGACATTGTTGGTGTAGTGTATCTTAATTTATAAAAAAGAATTTCACTCCCATGTACTTATTTTCTGATAGACATTTGTCAGATGTAGAATAATTCCTGTGATTATTTATTTTAAGAACATATTTTGATTTGAACTACAGAGGAAACTCTTAACTTTCCACTTAATAAATTACTGAATGAACCAAAACTTCCTTTTGAAGGGACGTTTATTTCTGCTTTTAATAGCTATATGATTCTTAAAATCAGCTGTGCTGTTTACAAAGCTACTGAACCGATATTTGTTGTTCTATTTAGAAGTATAATAAAATATTTTGTAAATTAATGAGATATATAAAAAA